CAGACCGGGAGTGGGAACCGGAGAGGTGAAAAGGACCTATCAGACTGGCTGCTAGGACTCCACCAGATGGGCTTCGAGGCAAGAGTGAAGGGTTCCTCTATGCCCTTTCACCAATTCCCTGGCTTCCAGATTAGTCTGCAGGATCAGGAGACAAGTCCATGGCCGTTCCCATTGTCTTTGATTGGCAGAGAGCATTTTGGTTGACCAATCTCTTACACATATCCATTTAGCATCCACTCCAGCGCCTGGACTGTTTCAATCAGATCTCTCAGCACTGCAGCCCCACACAGACCTGGAGTTGCTGCTCCTGACAGCATGATTGTTTAAATACTATTGATAGTTATGGCTTCCTATAGAATAAGAAAATTCTGGTTAACTTGAAGATATCGACCTGACTGAGGTGCTCATTGAAATTGAAGAGGTTCTTACTAGGGGAGGCTTCGTAAGTGTGGATGTGGGCAAGGGCTTGATACCAAAAATCCTCTGCTGAATACTGTGTACAGATGTGGTCTCCTTACCTCAAAAAAGATATTTTGGCCTTAGAAAGGGTTCAGAAAATGGCAACTAAAATGATTAGGGGTTTGAAACGGGTCCCATATGAAGAGAAGTTAAAGTGTCTAGTACTTTTCAGTTCAGAAAAAAGGAGATGGAGGGGGGATATGATAGAGGTAAATAAAATCATGAGTGGTGTGATGAATAAAGAAAAGTTATTTATTAATTCCCATAATAGAAGAACTAGAGGACATCAAATGAATTACTGGGAAGCAGGTTTTAAACGAATGAAAAAAGTTCTTCTTCACACAGTGTGTAGTCAACCTGTGGAACTCCTTGCCAGAGGAGGCTGTGAAGGCTAGGACTATAACAGAGTTTAAAGATAAGCTAGATAATTTCAGGGAGGTTAGGTCCATAAAAGGCTATTAGCCAGGGGATATAAATGATGTCCCTGGCCTCTGTTTGTCAGAGGCTGGAGAAGGATGGCAGTAGACAAATCGCTTGATCGTTGTCTTTGGTCCACCCCCCTCTGGGGCACCTGGTGCTGGTCACTGTTGGCAGACAGGCTACTGGGCTAGATGGACCTTTGGTCTGACCCAGTACGACCATTCTTATGTTCTTTTTAAAGACGTCACAAAAAAGCATGTAAACATCTGAACTTTTGTTACTTAGTTGTAAATAAGCCACCCCCCCGAATTATGTAAGTTACACTGTGTTGATATGGATAGCACCATGTCTGTGGGAAAGCTTCTCCCGCAGACATAGCTACCACCACTTGCAGAGGTGCTTTTTGTTATGCTGACAGAGCTTTTTCTCCTCTCAACATAAAGTGTTTTCACTAGAGATGTTACCTCTGCACTGCTGTAGTGCTTCTAGCACTGACTAGTCCTTAAAAGATGAATAGTGACCCTATACTCCATAATGATTAATGTTAACAAGAGGGAAGGAATGCAAATCAAGAATATTTAGGCAGGTTAGATATAAACAAGGCATGAGGTCCTGACGAAATTCATCCTCAGATGCTTAAAGAACTAGTTGAAACCGTCTTAGAACTGTTAGCAACTATCTTCAAGAACTCATGGAAGATGGATGACCTCTCCAAAGGCTGGCAAAGGCCAAACATGGTACTTACCTTTAAAAAGGGGAACAAAGAAAATCTACAAAAGCGGCAAGGAGTCCTGTGGCACCTTATAGACTAACTGAAGTGTTGGAGCATAAGCTTTCATAAGCAAAGACCCACTTCGTTAGATGCATACATGCAGGCCAGAATCAGGCTGGAGATGATGAGGTAGATCCAATCAGGGAGGATGAGGCCCACTTCTAGTAGCTGATCTGGAGGTGTGAATTCCAAGAGAGAAGCTGCTTTTGTAGTTAGCGAGCCATTCACAGTCTGTTTAATCCTGAGTTGATTGTGTCAAACTTGAAGATGAACTGTAGCTCAGAAGTTTCTCTTTGAAGTCTAGTCTTGAAGTTTTTTTGCTGCAGGATGGTTACCTTTAGATCTGCAATTCATTAACACTAACACTTCAGTTAGTCTATAAGGTGCCACAGGACTCCTCGCCTCTTTTGCAGATTCAGGCTAACACGGCTACCCCTCTGATAAAGAAAATCTAAGGAGTTATAGACCATTCAGCTTAACACTGATACCTGAAAAGATACTGGAATAAATAATCAGTTGGTAAGTACCAAGACTCTAGGTGTATCTAGTGCAAATCATACCAAACCAATATAGCTTCCTCTTTGACAGGATTATTGGCCTAGTGCATAGATGAGTAGTGCCCTGCTTAGTTACAATCTGTAGCTACATCTGTAGCTGCAAAAATGAGCCGCAGCTATCAGCATTGACATCCATGGATATCCACAAATTTGCAGGCTTCTAGATACAAAATTGCACCTGTAGACAGCCTGATGAGTTTGTGAGGTAATTAACTCACCACTTAGGTAGCTGGGAGAAGGAGGTAATATAGAAGGCTGAGCCTGGGACTAGAAAATGAGCCTCTATCCTCCTGCTCCCATATCGTGTTCTTACTGGAGTTTAAGGAAGAAAACATTAGCTCCTAATTGCAAGGAAATTGCTTGGCATAAGTCTTGTTCTTTCATGGATACTCACATGGAGCAGAGGTAGCACCAGATGCAATGGTGCCTCTGACAGATTTTTTTAAAAATCCAGTCTTATGCAACTGTGATACATGCACACCAGCCATGGGAGCCATACTGATTACAGTATCTTGAACCATGGTTACTGTAGGGCAAGTAACTGTTCTTTAGGTAAATCTATCTTGAGTTCCCCACTTCTGTGTGTTCAATAAATTACTCCTGACTAATCTACACATAGGAGACAAACAAGATGATCTAAATACCAAAATCATCTGGGACTGAGCCTAAATCCAATTGAAAGTTTAATAGGAATTCATTTCCTACTAGTGAAAATCTGTGCTGAGCTATGGCGGTTTTAAAGCATCTTTGTGCTTTCCTGATCTTGGACTGCTCTGGTGCTTGTAGTATAACACATGAAGCTCTGGGGGCCTTTCTCAATTATGACAGCTAGTCCCCCCCCCCGACCTGTGGGCGAGGGCCTGCCCTGGGTACACCCTGCCTTCATACACTAAGGGTACGCCTAGACTACAGGCTTTTGTCGACAGAGCCTTTGTCGACAGATACTGTCGACAAAGCTTCTGTCGACAAAGAGCGTCTAGACTGCATCCAATTCTGTTGACAAAGCAAGCCGCTTTGTCAACATGAGAGTGTAGACGCAAAGGACAGTGTAGATGCAATAACGCCTTCTGTTGACAGAATTCTGTTGACAAAAGGCATTATTCCTCATAGAATGAGGTTTACCACCGTCAAAATCAACAGAACTCGGCAGTTTTGTCATGTCGACAGAACTCGGCGGTAGTGTAGACGCAGGTATAGTTTTGTTAACAAAAGTCCACTTTTGTCGACAAAACCCTGTAGTCTAGACACACTGCTAAGGCTTGAGAAGTAGTCCTCAGAAAGCAGTTTTATGGCAGACTTCCACGGTCCCTGCACTTAGGAGAGTCTCCCCCAAGCCAGATACTAGTCTTTAGGGACCCTTTACAACTGAAGTCCTTTTACTAAAGGAGTCCTTTTCTAAAGGAGTTGGCCTGGGGTGGAGGCAATGAGGCTCTCACCATGATGAGTCACTTTTTAAAATGGGATTGAGGAGCCTACATCACTCAGGCACTTCTGAAAACTATTTTATAGCTACATCTGTGCAGTGCCAGTATCTACTAAACTGTGTTTAGAGACATGATTTGAATAGCTTTTTCCAACAGACGGTGTGGACAATAAACAAACTAGATTTTTGCAGGTTGATGGCTAGAACCTCGGGAGTTTGTCTGCTCATTGTGCTATGCTGCTCTTTGCCAGCAAAATATCTTCCCCTGTGTAACTGTTACCCCAATTTGACATTCCTTCATGTACCCCTAGGATTTGAAAGTGCTGCTGACTGCAGCTTTGTATGTTTAGTCACTGCCAGCTGAAAACCAAACCACATGTAACTTGGAAAATCTTCTTTCCTGAAAGACAAGGGCAAATAGTTGCATGTTTGCAGTGTTGCTGTCTGAATGGAAGTGTGGGATAAGAGGTGAATGTGTTGTGAGAACAAAAGAAATGCTTGGACAGCCGACCTTTGGTCTTAGAATCCTAGAAACATAGAACACTAGAACTGGAAGGGACCTCGAGAGATCAGTCCAGACCAGTCCCCTGCCCTCAAGGCAGGACCAAGCACGGTCTGGATCATCCCTGGTAGATGTCTGTCTAACCTGCTCTTAAATATCTCCAATGATGGAGATTCCACAACCTCCCTAGGCAATTTACTCCAGTGTTTAACCACTCTGACTGGTAATCTTGCGAGCCTCTGACCCTTTTGATACGCAAGTTTGTTTTCAAAAGGGATGGATAGTTTTGCTGAAATTAGGGAAATTGATGACCCAGTAGGAGTCACTGTAGGTTATGTGCTTTGTTTGAAGTTAGCTGTAGAAGATTAGATGAAAGAATTTGCTTTGGAGCAGTCTGTAGAAGCTTTCTGGGGGCAAAAAATCTGATAAAGTTCCCCAGCAGCTAGCTGGAAGGAGGGTCCTCACCTGAAGCCTGCCTGCTGACCCCTCAAAATCATCTCTTAACTTTTAGATAGTACAGATGTTTTGAAATGTACTAAATCTACTGCAGAAGAGTGTGTACATGCGCCTATGATCTAATAATGTAGTTTTAGGTAAAAGTACTCCAGCTTGTTTCAATTATATCAGATGGATGAGCTGTGCCCCCCATGATTTATTCCTGATGATGCTTGGAGAAAAACAGTTAAGTTACACTTCATTGGGTTCTGAAAATCCTGGTAATGTAATGGCATACAGTAGTGGATATCTTTCTGCGAGCAGCCCCTCACTTTATATCGCACGTTTGTAAAAGTGTCACAAGTTATTGGCGCAAAACATTCTCTCTGGATGTTTAAACATTCTGACTAAAGCTTTTCTTCTTGCCTCCAGGGATCCAGTACAAGTACAGCGGTCCCAGGCAGCTCTGGAGTTGGAACAACCAGACAGTTTACGCGACAAAGGATAACGCGGGTGAACCTCAGGGACCTCATATTTTGTTTAGAAAATGAGCGAGAGACAAGCCATTCACTATTGCTATACAAAGCATTCCTTAAGTAAAATGGGAAAGATCAAGGTATTTTTGACGGAGACACGCCTGAGGACATTTTTTATATATTTGCAGATTACGCCTTTTTGTAACAAGCAAATGGGATATTGTTTAAAAAACAACCACCTCTTTACATGGAACAGTTTTATATTCCTGTTTATAAAAAAACTCTTCAGTACAAGAGAAATACGTTTCTGTAACAGTGAGGATACTTACAAGGCCTGTGGATACTATAAATGGACAATTAAACTTAACTCATCTCTTGATTGAGTGGCCTTCTTGCCAAACAAGCCATATATAAAGACTGACGGAATCGTTTAGCAAATAACTAGCTACCCTTTGTCATACCTGTAGCAGTTTCAACATTAATTGTGCATTATAGTTCAGTTTTACTTAACTAAATTGATTACATAGGTATATGTCTACAGCAGATGACCTCATTTCATTTATCTTTTTTTAAACAGTCAGTTAGCAAAGCGAACTGATTTTTAAGAATATTTATCTTCCCCCAAATGTTCAAATTCTAGAGGGATATACAATTAATTGAAACATAACCTCAATTTTTAATCACATTATTGCTTACTAGAGGCCCTGAAATCCCATAAAGGAGGGTTACTTCTGAATGTTTTTATCTGCATCTGTAAAAATGCATTTTATTTGCTATAGTTTGTAAAGCTGTAAAGTTTAAAAAAAGGAAAAAAGGAAAAAAAAAAAAAAAAGAAAAAAACCTTTTCAGCATAAATATATTTTACTTGCACTGTGTTTTTAGCTAAAGTGAAAGCTTAGGTTAAAATAAAATCAGAGTTGAGAGGAATCATCAAAAAGACTTTCTCAGTGTGAATCAAGTGTTGAAAAATGGTTGGTGTATTTTGTCAGTAATTGTACATAATTTTTGGCACATAACATAAAAAATGGCTATGTAAACTATAATTATTTTGCTAAAAGACTGTATGCAAGCTGTGGGCCTACTTTAAAGATGTCCAGAGCAAAGTCCCTTCTTTGTACCTATTTTTTTATTACAAATATACTAATTGGTTCTTTATATTTTCAGAGGTTATTGTATTAAATTGTCTATTGATAGTACTTTTATGACTGTAAATACTTTGGCTTTCTTGTGTGAACTCTCATGTTAGAATTTAACTCTCTTGCGTGTAAACTGAATGCTGATCAGTATTTTTATCAACACCTGACAACTGTTACACCTTTTATTTTGTCTTTTAGGAAATCCTGTCTTTCCATTTTTTTCATGTAAATTTTGCACAGTTACTTGTTCATATGTAAATATTTTACTTTCAAAAATGAAGTTTTTAATTGCTATTGTTTTATATAGGATTGAAAGAAAATTAACTCCTTTATTAAAAACAAATTTATCTGTATTTGCTAATGCATTTCACTCTCTACAACTTTCCACCTTCTGGATTTATTTTTCATAGCACAGTAATAAGATTCCCCCTAGGTGAGGGGATGCTACCTTCCAATGATGCACTTTATTTTTTTTTAAGCTTGCTGGCTTTAACCAATATTTTGAAGGCATATAACTACCCTTGTCTTGAATCCAGAAACTGCATTGTCAGCCTAGAACATTCTGTTCAAAGATCAAGGGTAGAATATCTGTAGCAGGGAAGTCGTGTACCACATTCATGACATTTTATTTTAACTTAATAAAATTCTTCATAAAATACTATGTTCATAATGAGGGCTAATCTGCCCTCCTATGCATGTGCTATCATTGACACCAATGAGAGGTACATGTGTATTTCAAAGGATAATGTGGTGCTAAATTTTAAAGGGACAGTGTCAGGGAATCTTCTTTTTTTTTTTTTTTAAATAGTTCAGTTTCTTTGAGTGTGTTTCTATGCCGTAGGTCATTAAAAATCTATTGTATTTTTCACTATTAAGTGTGCATTCACTTTTTGGATTTCATTCAGTTTGCAAAAAGATTGTTCACACATTCCCTTTTGTTTCCATTGGGGAGGCCCAGGGTCTGCCATCAAACCCATGCAGAGTCCTGTTTATTTCAGCAGTTATCCTTGCAAGGGGGTGAACTGGTGCAGGTATGATTTCAGGGTACTGTCCCAAACTCAGTATTGGCTCCTATCAAATTAGGGCATGACCCTGCAGTAATTTCAGCATTTGAGAAACTATGCACATGTGTAGTACCATTGAACTCAATGGGATGACTCCCAGGAGTAAATTCACTTGCTTCAGTATAGGGATGCAAGTGACTAGTCGACTATCCGATAAACATAAGCTTATCCAATAGTCAAGCTAGTGACTCAACTAGTCTCTCCCCCTTCTGCTCCCACTGTCTCTACCAGAGGCACTAACGGGGAAGCAGGAATCAGTGCTGGCAGAAGCTGGCTTAAAAGCTGGTTCCCCCGAGCACTGTCTCCGCGAGGTGTAGGGGAGGCAGAGGGATAGTGGGGGACCAGGCACCTTTGCTTTTTAAATGTATTGAGAGTTGCTAGGCTCTTAATACGTTTAAAAGGCTGAAGTGTAGTTGGGTGACCAGGTGAGAGCCGGGAATCAACTGTTCCGGCTCGTGCCCAGTCCTCCCCACTGCACTTCAGCCTTTTAAATGTATTAGGAGCCTAATGGCTCCTAATACATTTAAAAGACCGAGCCGCAGCAGGGTTAGCTCCCAGGGCCGGGAGCTAACTCCATAGTGGCTCTGCAGTTTCCCCCCTTATTGACTAATCAACTAGTCAATGGAAATTCCATCGATTAGTGGATTAAACACAATTTAACATCCCTACTTCAGTAAGTGTTGGTTGGATTGGGCCTAAAGTCAGTTCTTTGTGGTTCTTGTGCTCGATTGCAATGCTGAATTTACAAATCTGATGGGAATTCAAACAAATCCAGACATCTGCTTTCATTTCTGCTTTTTTAAAATTGAGCTTTTAAAAACTTTGCTTTAGAGCCATTATTGCAATATTCCTTTAAACATTAAAATGCCTATTCTAAATGTTGGATGCCATTTAGAGTTGCTGGGGGAAAACATAGACTTTGGAATTTACATCTTGGCAGGTAAGTGGAGAAGAAACTTAACTTTCTGATATCTCAACAGTCTTCATGCTTAATTCTTGCAGCACAATATGGGATAAGACTTGGGTCAGAGATTTTATGGGCAGGGGGTTGAGACGGTTGTATTATTTGCAAGTGGTAGGCCCACATTTGAGTAATGAAAGTCATTATAAACATTTCTGTACTAAAGATGTTAAGTATCAATTAATGTACTAATCAAGTAGTCGATGGAATTTCCATCGATAACTTGACTAGTCGTTAAGGAAGGGCACTTTTAAGCGATCACTTCCAGCTCTGGCTGCATCTGAGCACATCTCCCAGCTGCCGCTTGGCACACTTAAAGGGACAGAGAGGAGCCAGCATGCAAAGATGCTGGCTCATTCTCTGACCCCCCGCTAGGTCTAAGGACAACCCTCATGCTGCCCCTCTTCATTTTTAAAAGGGATGCAGCAGCAGCAGCAGCTGATGAGAGACCCCCCTCACACTGCCCCTCTGCATTTTTAAAGGGACACAGCAGACTGTCCTCTTGTCTGTCTCCGCACAAGCCGGCTGCCACTGCTGTGTCCCTGAGACCGGGCAGGGGACCAGAGAATGAGCCAGCATCTTTGCAGGCCGGCTCCTCTCTGTCCCTTTAAGAGTCTAAAGGAGGGAGGGGAGAGATCAAGTAGGCAATAGTTATCAGGTAGTCGACTACTCCTTCACATCCCTAATCTGTACAGATGATGTAGCATATTTATATATGCCACATTTAGCAGAGAAAGTGTTTTAGAAATAGTCTGGAGAGACTTAAGTTGTGTGGCAGAGGGAAAAGAAGTTACATTTTATCTCTTTCCACCCATTGTGTTACCTTAATAGTGCAAGTTCACTTACACAGACTTCTGAAAATAAAATTTTAAAACCCTCTTTTCAAAATGGCCAAAAAATCATTTTTCTAGACAGTCTGATCACTTAGGACTTCTCAAGACTAGTAAATGTGCTGTTTATCTTGCTGTCAGTCTTTTCCAATAGTTCAAAGCTGCCACTGGGACCCGGGAAGTGTAGCTGAGGTACAGAAGCTTAAACCTATCACTAGTGCAGAACTGAACACTAATCCGGATCTTTGGCTACTAGTTTTTTTTCGGGGGGAGGAGGGAAAAGAAGGGTTGTGGAGGTTTCCAGTATTGGGAGGATTTTTTTTAAAGAATATTGATAATTTAAATAAACACACCGATGATTGTATGAAGTTGCTCAGAAGTCTGGAATATTAGGAGAAAAGTCCTGGTTGAGAGGGAATAAGGGGAAAGCAAGCAGGTAAAGTTACAGCTATTCGGGCATATCTGCAGAATGAACAACGAGCAAAAAGTTAAGACCCTGGTATTCGGCATAATGGATGGTCCGAATAGGAGAAGCAGACCCCACAGAGAATGGGTAGATGATATAGTAGGTTGGTGTGGAGCTAGTCTACAGAAACTAAGCCACTCTGCCCTGGACAGGGAAAGATGGAAGGAAATAGTGAGAGGCATTGGACGTCAACGGGCGTTGAGCCCATGGTTGATGATGAAGCAGATAAAGTTATCAGAGATGCTTAATGAGTATAACTTTAGCCCATTGATTCTCAATTTAGCAAATCGCTATCATCCCATGTATGTGCAAGTGCATATGCATATTTCAGGGATCAGAAGTGGTTGAATGTCTTTATTGGGAAGTTTTTCTGTTCATGTGTAGTAATAACAGACACTGTCTAAATAAAAATGTCTTTGTCTTTAAGATAGGGATGGAGAGTATCTGCAATCTCAACAAAGAAATGATGTTAATAAATACATTGCAATTTCTCCTTAGATCTCTAGGTGGCATGTGATTGAGATGTAGGAAAAATTAAATCAGGTGTATGAGAGTTCATATAACTGCTGTAGGGTACAATACAATAAAGAAGTAATAGAATGACTTGCCATCTCACTTAATTTTGTAAGCCAAGGCAACACAGTATGTAGCTGTAATGGGCCTGAACTATTGATACCATTCATCTTACATGAATATTCAGCAAAGTAATTAGTATTTAATAAGGTGCTCTGAATTCAGCCTGTTTTCATATTTTGCAGCTGTATGGTTAAATAGGTAGCATATGAACAAACCTCTCAGAATGAGACATGTGCAAACACTCTGTCCATAAAATTTGCAGTAAGGAAGATTTTATTAGGGTTTTTAATTATACAGAAATTATGCATCTAAGTGACAGTCAATTGGTTGAGCTACTGAGTAATACATTTGTAATATGACTGTTTCTGTATTCAAATCTTTGCCCTACTTTTCTGGGGTGAATGTGATACAAGGTGCCACATGAATATTTGAATTCAGGTTCCAGCAACTATAATTGGGGGAGGAAGGGAGGTTTTGGCTGTGAAGAGAGAAGCACCTGCTCTTGAGGGCCTGAAAATATCTGCCAAACTTCAAGATTAAAAATTGGTTATAATAAGCAGAGCAAATTTAAACAGAAGCGAGTTCAATTTAATCTCTGTTTTGAAAATATGGCCCAAACAGAACCCTCTATACATTTGTGTAAGTTTGGCATGTTTTAGTTAAGGGAAGCAGTGTGGCTGACTTGATAGAGCACCAGGTGGAACTAGAGACTTGCATACTAGTCCCCTTTGTGCAACTCATCTACTAAGGCTATGTCTACACTATGGGGTGCTTTTTTTTGAACAGGCTTTTCTGAAATTTGGCAAAAAAAAC